CGCATCACGATTCAGTCACAGGGTTCGCAGGGATTATTTTTAGATCTGTTTTCCAAGAAGTCCGCAAACTTCGTTTGACTCAGTCATTGTCTCTTGCTTAGCTGCCACAATCATGGGTTCTTCGTTTGCTATCCTCTCTTTTGCCTAAACTTATTTCTGCCTAAACTTATTTCCCTGGTGCATTTCTTGCTGAGGCTGTAAACGTAACTATAAGAGGATTTTTGTGTGCCAAAGAAATTGAACTACAGATTGTGTAGCAGCGAAGAAAGTATGCTTTCTCTCGATGCGGTCGTCTTGTCTGATTCGAAATAAAATGACTTACCTTGTTTCTATGATATACGTTTCTTTAATTTAGACCTATGACTATCTGGTCTATCTGCTGGTTGCTGGTGGAGTCATTTTGAGGCCTTTTCGTCAAATATTAAATTGCAAATATTTGTATTCAGAAAAAGCTGGCATTCACATTATATATCCTCTCTAACCTTCCACACAGACGTTCTTATAGTGTGTACAGACGCCCCTCTTCGCTCAGAAAAAATCCCGATTTTTTTAGGGAAGGGGGCGTCTGTACACAGGCTAACGTTCTTAGACACTTAAACTGCAAAGGATCGCAAATGAATATGCGGTAAAATGTAGGATCTATGAATCGAAAGACCTGACCAGCCAAAATATACACTGAGTAGACACACCGAATCAAGTGAATTCAGTAATTCAGTGTGTTTACGGCTGATTATTATTTACACTTTATGAGCGTCACGAAAGATTTTATGCTCGATCAGACGTGAAGAAACTCGCCTGACACCCCTTGACTCATTTAAACTTCAAGTGAAAATTAAAAACTATATTCATGGGAGGAAAAATAAAACGTTTTGCCTCACTCATGCGGAACGCTGAGAAATGGTACGGGAGTATTTTAATCTGTTTATTCTTAGTTTGTCTGTAGACAGAGAAAAACAGGAGTCGATTACTGACTCCTGACAGAAAATCAAAAATGAAAACAGACTCCTTCTCATGTACATTTGGACGCCCCAACTTCTTAATTAGTTTGTCATCACAAGTGTGATCGACGTAATGTCAAGATGTGTCAACATGGAAGCAATGATTTGTTTATTCACGTCACAGGTGGTCAAATTTATGCAAGCACTGCGCGTGCGTGGCCGAGCTGTGGTAACTTACATGAACAAGGTTCAGGAATATATTTAGAATGACAGCGGACCGCAGGGCCGGGGCGGGCAACACTAAAAGCTATTCCTAGGACTCATGGCTGGGCATGAATGGAGAAGGTTATACGTTTCTCCCTGCTCTTTTTTCTACCGATATGTTCCCATATTGGCGAATCAGTCACAGCAAAAATTACGTTCGCTGCGATCGGGGATTTCGGTGGAATCCCTCTACCACCATATTCAACTTACACACAGAAGAAGATAGCGAGAGTCATGGGAAAGGTATGTGCTACATTTAAGTCCAAATTTTACAGCGCATTTTGATAAACATGGCATTGGTGATCTTCGCTTCTTTTTGCTGCTGGTTGCTTGTACTCAGTGATTTGATCAACGGGTGTTTTTCTGTTCCTGGAGTAGACAAAGAAGATGATCAATTGTCAGTTTGCTTAGTTTTATTCGATTTCTTTCATGAATGTAGATAAACTCATATTTATGGCGCCTCCATAGACAACATTTTCTTAGACTTTCACCTTGATCAGACAGTTTAGTGCGTAATCCTCCGGAAGTATCGAAATTTGCGACGACTGATAAATAATTTAGTAAAAGGCTCCAAATACGGAGATGTTCAACTGTGGCGGACCGCTCTTAACTTTTTTCAGTATTGCTGTCCTGTTCCTAAAAATTGCTTTAGGGCGTTTTAAAACTGTTAATTTCAAGTCGCGGGGCAGATCTAGACCATTTCCTCTGTCTGTCATTTTCAAAACTACGTGGTAACTAAGTTAACCACAAAAAGTGACTGAGAAGATAAAATACGCCCATATTTCTTGGTCTGTCCGTTCTCGAAATAACTAGGAATAAGTACGTCAACGTAAAAAAAAACTCGCTCGCGAGTTGCGTCTGTGCGTGGCGGCTTCGTCACTAGACTTTACATCGCATTTTTCTACTAAAAGCGGAAAGCTCTGAAACTTTGAATAATTATTATTACAAACTTCAGGCTTGAATAAGAAGGAAAACCTTAAATGATATTTTCCGTTGCTTGGTAGTGGAATGAAGCTTTACGGTATGTAGCAAAATGAGAAAATCTATTAATGAACCGCACTGGACAAAAAATTACCGCCTGTTCCTTCGAAACCCTGAATTGCTTAGGCTTCCCTTTGTAAATATAATTTCATTCACGTGAAATCATTGACACATTGCCTTGAACATGTTATTATCGACCAAAACAAATTTAAGCTGGGATTAGAAAACCGATTTTCATTGATTTTAAGGAGAAAGCATTTTAATAATTCTCAGATTTTCAAATTCTCAGGCATTGTAGGCTATAAAGTTTTATCTTAATTTAAAATCATTCGTGTATTTTCAAGTTGTTTTGCCACACTATGATAAATTGCTTTCTTATTAAAATCAGTTTGCTCATCAAAATGCGAGTGTCTTAAAGTTGTTTGAGTTGTTATTTTAAAATCAACCAACTGTGTAAATAAGACGTGATAAGTTTTTTCCGCTTTCCTCTTTTAGTTGCATGCAAGGTTTTAAAACGGTGCATTTTATTGTACGTACGCGTCGTCTTTGCTGAGACTTTTTGAAAAGAGCCTTCAATAGTGGCCTTGTTCAATTTTAAGACTTAGATGCTAATCTGGGGCTGAAGGCCAAGAAATTAAGAAGATATATGCCATCGACATGTGATTACAATAACCCGACATGGCCTGGATTGATTCACTTTAAAATGTAAAGTTAAACAGACCTTCAAAAAGTGTGATATTTAAAACTAGTTGGGAACTTCTCTAACCATAATCTGTATTCTGTTAATCAACTCTCTCGACGACCCCAAAAGACCCCTCTGAAACACGGAATCTATTCCTCTTCACGAACACCTCGGCCATTGTACATGCATGAGCGCCAGTACCGCTCAACGTTGTTTGTCTTAAAATAAGTTGACTGTGTTTATATTTCTATATTTATACTTGGCAAAGCTAGGTTGTCCATCGCGCGTGTTTGTGTGATGTGCAGGATTCATCTGTAGGTTGGGGATTCAGAGCAACACTGGTATACGATTACAGTAAAAACCAGTCAAATAACCTTCTAAAATAAAAGAAAAAAACACAGAACATCACTTGAAAGTTGCGGCTAACTGACATGGCTTTATTGGGGAACTCTTACACTCGTATCGTGATCTGATAATGCTAGGAGGTTTCCAGATTGGGAACTTGCAATTGCAAAAAAGCGTTTTCTCTGAATATACATAGCTAATAATTCGCCAGTGTATGGCCAGAAAAGATGAAAACAGACAGCTATGCTGGAGTTAAAATTAAAAAGAATTTTATCGATTGGTAAAGATCCCACCTTGTGAAAACGTCTGAAATAAGAAACTTAACAGCTATGTTAATTTGACAATGCTTTCCGCTTTGAAGAAAACAACTATATGTTAATTACGTGTAAATTCATTTAAAATACCGCAAATATGCTTCGTTGGAAAAGCGCTGGCTTTGCTTACTTGATTTTGAGATCCGACTGACGTTTGACTATAAAGAGGTTTTGATTAGCTGTCGCGTGTAAATCACGATATAGGCAATACTTCAATCACATATTTTTCAGTAATCATGTATCAAGTTTATCAGCTTGGCTGGTTAAATATACAGAGCCTTTTTGACCGTTTATGACCTCGGAAAATAACGCTCTTTTTGCTTTTAACGGGTATAAATACACTGTAAATATTTAATCAGCTTTGGAAGAGCTTTACACTCGAATAAAAGCTCTTATACATTGACAATGATCCTTGTCAAACCGGTGGCACCAGAGTTCTTCGCCTTTTAAATCTCCTCACTCAACCCTTACCCCTCAGAAAGGCTTGTTACTCAACGATCTCAACAAATCAAAGCCGTTTAATATCCCGGCCTCTTCGCCTTTCTAATTAGGCTTTGGCCCACTTTCAATGCCGCATACAAAAGTGATGTAAACGTTTGCGAGGAAAAAGTTTCGGAATAATATACCATTTTACTGAAACATTTTTTTTGCGGGTATTAGGGTGTCGGGGGTTTCTAGGTGAGTTGTCGACCTGGTATAGGAGACACACTGTAGCAGTTTAAATACCCTTCCGATTTAAATGCTTCACTCGGAGGATCATACTTAGCCTGTTCCAGGCTCCGAGAGGCGGGTCCGCTGAATTGAGAAAGCGCGAACATGAAAAAGAAATAAATAAATGAAAAAACGGGAGGAAACTGGGGAGAGGAAGGGCGATGGAAGAGGGGCGTAAAAGAAATGATTACATGCTCTCTATCCCTTTCTTTTTCTTCTCCCCCCCCCCCCCGCCAACTTTTCTTTGGCGTCTTTCCCGGCCACTCTTTCGCGTCTTCCCCACTATCTGAGAGCCTGGAACAGGTTAGATCATACTCAGCCTACTTGTTTCTTTTATTTGATTATAGGATTCAATTATCATGCCTTAGACTATTTGTGCCCGCGTAAAATGAACTCATATTTCCTTTGTTTCCTATGTGTTATTACTTTTAGTTTTCCTCGGGGGATAGTTTGAATAGTAAATGAGCCCGTAGGCTCAGGACGCAGCGGACTCGTACGAATATAGTCTAATTATGCTCTGCTTCAAACTGTGAAATAGGTTGCTTCACAGACAAGTTCTTTACTTACTTTTTTAGTTCGCCGATACAAAACAAGTACAATTCATCGTTGGATTAGGCGACAATTTTTATTACGAGGGTGTCAAGAACGTGGATGATCACCGATTTTCTTCGACATTTGAGCACGTGTACAAGTACCCCGCCCTAAAAACAGCCACGTGGTACATGATAGCTGGAAACCATGACTACGGCTCTAACGTGTCCGCGCAAATAGCCTACACCAAGAGGTCTAAACGATGGCACTTTCCCCACTTCTTTTATACACAAGGTATTTGTTTACAGCTACACAGTATACTTACCCGCTTCGTACCCGGGAGGGGTGGGTACTCTCTATAACGGCCTATACGGGGAGGAAACACTTGTGAAGGCAAAACCTCAACGGCAAACCAGTGAGGGTCAGCCGGACATTAGTAGACCTGGATTAGTAAAATCTTCGATAACAAATTTTAAAATTAGAACTGTAAACTTATCCTTACTCCAGGAAGAGTGTTAGGAAAAATAGAAAAAGAAAACAAAAATAAAATGGTGAATAATATTTGCCCAATATTTCCGTTTGCAACACAAACCTTCAACGGGGGCTAAGCAAAATGAATATAGATACAAGATGAACGTTACATATAGGAGATTTTAATACACAGCAAACGGACAAAATGATAGGCTACCAAAGAGATAAATATCACTAATTGAGTTCATCACGTCTATTTATACCACGGGATTCTAATGTCATGGCTTTGTCGATGAGGTGAGCCTCGATCGCGTTCCTTTTTGACAGAGTCACGGTTGCTACGGATTAGTTCTAGGGGAATAAGAAGGACTTCGTTGATAGAGTGATCGGCTCAAATTATGATGTTCAGAAACAGGAGTAGAACTAGCACGCGATGCTCCCCAGAACTTTCGTGGAGATGGCGCTTGGTCTCCCCCACGTATTGTTTGCCGCACTTTTTACATTCAATCACTAAGGTAAATAAAGTGAGGTACCTTTTCAAGGCTATGAAGACATTTGAAAGAGTAGGAATTTCACTAGTTGAGGTATATGAAAGGGCAGGGCGATCTGTCATTTCGGCCAGCAAAAAGGCCAAAAAGGCAGCTCTGGGAGCCAAACCGGCGGAAAGGGAGCTAAAAGATAGTAGGAATTGAACAAGTTTTCTTGTCTTTAGGAACAAGTCTTTGCGCAACTGTTTTCATAAAAAGGTTATCTCTTTCAGAGGTCTTACTATATACCGACAGTACGGAACCAACTCTCGACACAGACACTAAGCGGACAGCTTTCTGCAAAACGGCGTAGTCCTTGAAGAAAAAAAAGCATTGTATTAAGTTTGTTTTTTCCGTTATAGATAGGTTTTCCAGGCGGTGCGCGTCAGAAAAAGTGCAACTGTATGTGTATTTTTATCGGTTTCAGTCCTGAAAATACCTGGATCCTCTACAACAGTTCAACTGGTGATGATAGACACAACTCTTCTTTGCTGCAAAAAGTAAGTAGAACTAGTGTTGGGTACACCACATTGACATGAAGACGAAGCGAAATGGTTATTGTGGATTACTAACCCGTTAACGTTAATCTCGTTTGAATGACTTTTTAAACAAATGACTCTGACTGCAGGCTCAGTGATACCTGTTATTGTATTTTTCAATTGATGCTCTTCGCGTATTGTAGTTATTTTAATTGTTTTTTTATTCTGCGACAATTGAAAAGCTGGCTCGTTGTAGCAGGCGCCAAAAAAGAGATTCTTAGATTCTAAGACGAGGACGACTACGAGTACGAGATTTTCTCAATATTAAGAAGTGCGCACGGGTGAATCAGCGTTATTTTGGCGGGAAAGCGTGATAGCCGTAGTCAATGTTACCATGAGTTTTAGCGAGAATGTCGTAGTGACAGAAACAAGTTTATCAACTATTAGAAGTTTAATTTTATCATTCTGCGATCGGGAAAAGGCTTAACCTCCTTCAATGAAGATAACAGTGCTAACTTTTCTGGTTAAAAATAGGTACAATACGGGGTGTTTATTTTCTGCGAAAATCAAAATCTCGAAGTCGTACTTGTTCTCCTCCTCGAATCTAAAGGTGTCTAAAAATGATCCGCATGTTTCCTAACAGTGTGGACTTGGCATAGGCTGGCAGAACGATGTTGAGCGTAAGACCTGCTCTGAGGATAGAGACGCTCTCTCCTGAACAAACACACACAAACACAGAAAAAAAATTGCCATAAATCACCTCCATCTAACCAGGGCAAAATAGAGTGAGAGGAATAACCCCGCCTCGAAATGTCGTTTCATCTAGGGAAGAGGCGAAAAAGTCCTATGCACCTGGTGTTGCACTGGTGCCATCTGCCCACTGGGTTAAGCTTTTGCGTTATGAACTCTCACACTTAAACGATTACTTACAGTATAGAGAATATTTAAAAGAACACAAGAGAAATTCAGGAAATCCAAAAAAGGATCGCGATTAAAAGAAGATTGAAACAGATTGCGTTACGGGTAACATGAAAAACGGCGACCCTTTTTTCGTTTTTGTCTCAGTAACTCATAATACTTTGCAAGCATCTATATTTGATATATGGCGGTATTTTTGTGAGTAAAAAGGTTTTTCTGTCACTAATTGGCAATTTAAATCTTGTAGTAAACGAGTCTGAATTTTAATGACTTATTTGAGGCCTATCAGTGGTCGTTATGCTGGCCATCTCGCGCTTAGCTGACTTAGACGTTTTTATTTACTCAGGCAAAAAGATTTAGAGAAATTGCCAGATGTGGAGGAACAACTCATATGGATAAAACAAACACTCGAGCAATCTACGTGAGTAGTAGTAATTCATTGAAATCCGCCGCGGAATGCGTCACAGATGATTTAACAGATTCACAAAAAGGCCATCTTGGTATAAAGAGCCCTTCTTTATTTCAGCGCAAACTTATACTGAGAACCTTTCACTGCGCAACATTTGTGACGTTACCAGTCGTGACAATAAAAGACAACTCTGATAAACACTTGAATGCAATGCGGAAAATGAGTTTTTTTCTTACGCGACTGACGTATTTGAATTTCAGAGCGGAATACCTCATAGTAGCTGGTCATCACCCAGTCCTGTCAGCTGGTATCCATGGCAACACTCCATATCTTATATCTAAACTCAAACCATTGCTGGAGGAAAATGACGTCACTGCTTACCTCAGTGGTCACGATCATAATCTACAGGTACGTCTTCAATATTCTACCTCCCCTCAACTTATCAAATCTCGTGTGTACTAATCAACAATTATTGAATGAGACTGAGTATCATCTGAAGAATTATGGAGATCGAGGAGGGTGTTATACGGCCTCGGCGGGTAACACCCTCCGCGATCTTCACAGTTCTTCAGATGATAGGAAAGCCGAATTCAATAATTTTTTTATTATTCATTCAAAATGATTCTTAGTTTAAAAACGAACTAAAACATGCTTACCTCCATAGATGTTAAGTTCATCTTCGATAGTGCATGAGTATGGAGAAATTCTGGAGATAACAGGTTGTTCAGTTCTACAAATATTTTCCAAATAGCAGATGTCGTCCGCCGAGTTGTCTTCTTGCTGTTCTTGTTATGTTTTCAGCCAATAGTTCGCCTATTTCTTCCTCGTGAAACAAGTGAAATGTTCCGCCTTTTTGTACTCTATGCCAAAAACAACTCAAGCTCGTTCCCAGGTCTTCTCGATTAACTGTCCAATAATATGGCAATTTTGCTGCACAGTTGACGTCATTTTTCACATAGCGCAAAATTCTCGCTGGATGTTAGCCAATCAGAAAAGGAGAAACATTTTGAATGAATAATAATTAAAATAAAAACTAATGACCTTCGCAGATTATATTCTGCGACATGATCCCTTTGTCAAACTTGTATTTAGCCTTGTACCGGGAGAAGAGAAGTTACTAAATAATAAGCATACACAAATCTACTTGGTAACGTAGCCTCGTAGCCCTTAACAAAGTGATGTTGAGAGATTAATGAACTATAAAGAATAAAAAATAACTCTACGATACCTTGGTCTGAAAAGGTGATTGCGACCACTTATAAACAGTGTATACAATTTTTAAAAAATAGAGGTGACTACTTTATAGAGGTTATTTCTGCAGCAGTAATGTAGTTCCGCATCCAGACCTTGAGGTAATGGGTGGGGGCTGGTCTCCAAAACAAAATTTTTCGGCCCTTCGGGCCTCAGTTTGGTCTAAAAATAAGGGCTGGGGGGCGGGCCCCTCCCCTGAATCCGCCACCGTTAATGAAACCGTTGCTGGGACTTTGTCAGCAAGTGACCCCTCGATAAATGGTGCTCATGGTTAATAGAGGTTCGCTTAGATCATGGTTGACTGTATAGGGAATAATGTAACTGAATTTCTCCTTTGTCTTGTAGCACATCAAGGAGGATCACTCAAATGTGCATTACATTGTGACGGGTAACGGTAACTTTTACAATTCGTACATGCTGCACAAAAGGATGCTTGGCAATTCACTCAAGTAAGTCGTGCGCCTATAAGATATAAGTTAAATTATATTTCCACCGCTATGGGTTGCTTTTTTATCGGTCAAACATGCTGACATACGCGCCAAGTAGTGAACAAATAACGATAAACGTATTCTCTCACACCAAGAGAGAATACGTTAAGGAAACATGGCGAGACGTGAACAAATTGTATTGACAAGGAGGAATAGGTACAAGCAGTCGGGACCAGGATTTCTGGGATTGTTTGGGTGGACATTACAAGCAGTAACTGACGAAAAAATTTAAGGTCGTAAGGTTTTAACTTTTTATTAACAGTGAAGCGTCCCTTTAACAAAGTGCATGAGCAACATAATTTGATGGAAGATCGATCGTTCACTCTAATGACTTCCTAATGTCTCTTTATTCTACAGATAAAAAGTCCCTGAATAAAGAGTAATACTTTTTTTTGCATTTGTAGATTTTTCCATGGTAATTCGGGAGCTTTCACTTTGTTTGAAGCGACGCCAGAAGTTCTCAAAGTTTTTCAGATCGACGAGTACGGAAATGAAGTATACAATACCCACTTACAGCCGAGAACAACAATACAATCATTAAATGACGCAGAGGATGTTTTGCTTGACGATTTTTTTACTTCGCAGTCTTGACGTCTTGAGCAGAAGCAATAGATGATGCCCATGTAAATATATGTTGCATAAATTCAAAGGTTTATTCGAATGCATAGACGACACTTCAATAAAATATGTGTAAATATTTCGAAGAAGTAAGATGAAGTGATCTTATCAATCTCCTTTGTGTAAGGTGCGACTTGGTTAAGGGAGAAACCGGGTTATAACTGGGTTTTTATGTGCAGTTTTTTAGTGGCTGTTCCAGTTAGTTTAGAGGCACTACACTCAAATAAGAAGAAAAATAATATTCCAAATAAAACATAGCCTCGCATACCTTCTTATAACTTGCGTAACAGGCGGCTATTAGGACGAAGGGAGTAATTTCGAGGACGCGAGAATGGAAGTGTGCCCCTTGCGTACCCTGAGCTCCTAGTAACAGAAAGGGAACGTGACTTGACGGCGGCGGGCAAATAGAACAACTGGCTTGACCAATGGCAGAGCGGAAAATCGGGCACCTGAAGTGGCGTTCAGTCCTTTTCGCGCGCTTTCCCTTCGTCAACTGACATTCCCTTTCTTTGCTAAATCAGCCTTAAACCAAAAAAAAATAACCAGCGCCTGTGACGCAGATCACCGTTCTTAAGGTTTCATCATGAGAGTCTCAACAGGGTGATAGCTTTCACGGTTGACGGTTAATTTTCTCCGATTTTAACGGTTAACTGTTATTAAGCGGAAAATTCGTCCAAGAGTTTTAGTAAATATTAACTTCTGAATAAAGTCATATAAACTGTTGTGTTTTGGAGGTTGTCTTGTCCTTTCAGTTATAAAATTTCGAAATAATTTCAGATATAAGCAATTTCTAAGGTCTTGTAAAGTCTAGAAGGGGTGTTTTTGAGAACATAGGAACTGGTTTTCCAGTGTGGAGCTGGATTCTTCAGGAGCCAGAAGTCCATGATGATCAGCTGAAATACTAAAAGACTGAAATGACTTGAAATTTTTGGACAATCAATATCAACCTTCATTTTTGACGGTTGACGGTAAAAAGTAACCTTTTTTGACGGCTGGCGGTTAACCCTATTGAGACCCTCCATCGATGCTGGCCTTCCCAGACTTCCCATGGATTGATACGGAGTTAAACATCAGATTAGCCTGCGTAGTAGGCGTTTCCTCGCGAGGTTCGTGTAGAAAGCTGGGACAAGAGCAAAAAAATGAATGACAGGGGAGGGGGAGGGGAACGAAACTCGATTGGAAACGCTTGCTACGCAGGCTAACATCAGATCCAATCCATCGCCCGGCCCCATGTATGGTAATCCAAGAAATTTTTGCTTGTCGAATCAGAAATCCTGGGCTTTGGAGCTTAATCCAGTTCTTGGAATCCGGAATTCAAGTTCCACTGACAAAAAATCCGGACTCCTCAGGGTGGAATCCGGAATCTCCGACTGTCTTGGATTACCTTCAAGGGATGGACGAGATCCAGCTTGTTATTAGAGCGGAAATCGAACCAGGGACTTCCGGATGGACTGTCCACTCGGCCCCACTGTCTCTTTGTCAGTCTTACGGTCTTCCGAAACAGGAAGTACTGAGGATTGATAAATACCGCACTGTCTGTTCCTTCCAATCGAGATAGACTATAGACTAACAATCTAGAAGCGGAAGCTCACATTGTCAAAGAAATGTTCAATCTGTTCCCTCGGCGGGGATGAAGGATCAGGAGTTGGGACAGATAGAAATGATGGTCGACGATCGTCATGGCAACAGTCAAGTGACAGATGGAGGGAGGGGGTAGTCAGCAATGCTCCAGCAAGATTTCGCGCCAAAGGAGTTTCCAAGATTGGAGGAACTAATAACGGTGGCTCGCCGCGATCATTTTGCACATGGCATACAACGGATAGTTCTATACGTGACGGAGGGGAGCGCGCGGTCAGGGTGTTATTTGTTTCAACCTGGGGTACAGCAGGAGCTCTTCCGAAAAATTTCAGGAACGCACGCTTGAACTCGTTCGATCTGACCATGTAAATAATTGGGTTAAGCGCGCTCTGCACCACTATCAGAAGTACAACAGTGTCTCGGAGTACCACAGGGATTCGACCCATGCCGATTTTGACTGAGACTACCACGGAGACGAATCCCGGAAGATAGCAAAGAGCGAACAAACCGAGGACCATAACTGTGGAGATAACCGGTTAAAAACTGCTTAAAAAGTTGAAGGTTTGTTTATAGTGGAAAGTGCCTTAGCTCATCCAGCTAGTTTACAGGTACTCCACTTAAATAATTAGAAGCAACCAAATATAAACATAACAGGGGTAAAAAAACCCAACTGGCAGGAGACAACCATGCCCGTTGGCTATTTACGAGCGTGGCCGAGGTTTTGAACTCCAGACAACCGAGAACAGCAAATGGCCAGAGCTGGATTTGAAACCGGCGGGACGGCTGGATTGCGAGTCACTGTCACAATACCCCCTCTTACTAATACATTTATTTTATTACTATATTGTTTAATCTCCTGACCTGGTGGCTGTAATAAGGCGAGGGAGGGGAGGGAGGGGCACTGGAGGCAAAGCCCTCAGACCCCTTGCACCTCAAGCGGGACTAGCATGCAATTGACAAAATTGAAGTAGGGTAGATATCATACCTATAGTCTTCATCCATTTCATCTCTTTTCTTTTCTTCCTCCTCAACTCAGCCGTTTCGGGATTCAAGTTTTCTCCGGGTTCAAGTCGGTGGCTCTGGAACCAGGAGATCTTTGCGATGCGACTGTAAACAAACAACATCATGACGAAAGGAATCAAGACAAAAAAAGAGATGTTGAAGACAAGATGGACTCCGTGAAAGAGTGAAGGCTCATCACTGGTGCTGTCCGAAACAGAACAACCAAGCAAGCTTGACCTGAATGACGCACGGCCAGCTTTCTGATATACCATGGGAACCATCAGTAGAGATAGCGTTGGAGCACACCAGCACACCATCAGGGTCCATTTAATAAGTCGATTGGTCATGATTGTCATGTACCGAAGCGGATAAACAACGGCGACATAGCGATCGCAGCTGAGAAAGCAAATATGAAGAATACTTATGTACGTTAGTGCTCCCAGCAAAACTAAGAACCATTGGCAAACTTGAGACGCTGCTTTCAAGTCGTATAACCAGATTAAGCGGAAGACGAGGAAGGATGACATGAAGACGTCTGAGATCGCTAGGCTGGCAAGGATAGAGGAGCTAGGCCTAAGTTTGAGGGAGGGCACACGAGCAACAGCCAGGCAAACGCAGACGTTCCCTAACAAGTTTGCAACGAATGTTGGACATAAAAAAATAGTTTGTAAAGTCTTGGAAAGTGTACTCGGAGGTGACGTGGAGAAACTGGCATTGAAAAAGCTCCCCATGTCGTGTCAGTGGAATATCGAAAATCGATGATTTATGGAAATCTTGGTGGTCGGCAATTAAGAGTACACTTTCTTTAGTGCAAAACAGCTTTTCTTATTTATTTCCTTTTTTTTACAGGCCTAAGTTCATTTCCCTGTTATTGTGCGAACTACATCCGTGCTTAAATGATCACATTTACATATTTCAGATTGTTTCAAAATTAGAATTGTCGACTAGCACTTCAAAAAAGTGTTCGCGATCGGGATTTTGTTCTAGGGCGTCAATCAACAATGTTGGTAAGAAAAAAAACTATAGTTTAGCAACAACTGCAACTCATAAAGGAAAAACAGGGGGAGGGAGGAAGGGAGGGGGGTAATCAGGGCTTTTGTCACTTGTCTCGGTGCGAACATCTACGAAGTTGCCAGAAACGAGAGTATCAAGACAAAATAAGGTTCGTGATTGATAGAGGACTCGCCTGGCGACGTAATGAAAATTGTCAACAAAGTTGACTCCTTAATAATCGTTGTTCGGACCTTATCGAACTTTTCGCAAAAGACCTAACGGAATCGTAAGGTTATTTGAGGGTCCACTTCACTCTTTTGAAACGTGATTTAAGTTTTAATTTATTCGTGATTCGTGATTACCCCATCCCAAGACAATTTTTCCGTGCTGAACGTGAAAGCGTTTTTGGACTTAAGTGTGACTCGTGAAGGAAGACTTGATTCATAAGCGTAATTCGTGAACTACACCGGTTTAATTTGCGTGAACTGATTTTTTTTTTGTAATTTGGCTCGATTTTATGCCGGTTTTATCCTTGGAGATTGAGATTGGAACGTTCAACAGGGTCTTTAATCCGTGAATTTCTTTTGCAATTTCCCACGAAACGTGAATAACTAGTTGTTAGGTGAACGTGAAGACATTTTAGAAATTTTTCGTGACGCGTGAAAAGCCTCAATGTTTTTACCATGTTTAGGTATAACTTGAAAGGATTTTAAAAGGGGGACAGGGTAACTCTCTTATTTTTTTATTTATATTTATGAGCGTTAAATAATTATGGTGGTGGATTCCTACAAATTACTTCAATTGCGGGCGGCGAGAATTCGGTTTTGGTAATAAATCAGTAGTTTCAGTAACTCGGTCTCTTCTGAGTGGGCGCCATTATTTCCTCTTTTTTTCGTTGTATATAAACGTCGGTGTAAAATTACTAAACAAATTGATAATTAGATAAGTTATTTGGCAACTCATGAAAGAGAAGTGAAATGTAAAATATTTAACCAGGAATATAATCCTTGCTTTCAATAAATTCTCGAAGAAATTCTGAACAATGTTACGTAACTCGTTGATTGAAAAACCGAAAAAACGAGTTTTTCTACCGAAATCGACTCCAAGGCATCTGCATATCGAATAAAACATCCTTTCGGATATTTGATTTACATTTTAGAATTACTAAAAATTCAAGTCTTGAGTGAATTCAACGCAAAAATGCATAAACTTTTAATTATGACTGACACGCAATTAAGATCTTAGTCTAATCTAAACCGTTGATGACGGGCTATCCCATTAAGGGGAAAACCCATCACTATGGATTTGAGAAGAAAAAAAATAATTGCCACACATTCGTCGACCGTACAACTGTTTTCAAACATGGCTAGTTCCAAAAATGTTAAACAAGTTTGACGATCCACGCCATTCATGGAGAAATCACAAATTACTCGACGTTCTGCTTGAAGTTTCCATTCACTTGCCTTGTCTCGATTGATGTCTTAATGCGCCGCACTCAGGAAAGAAAGCGGCTAGTCTTGCATTTGTTCTAGGAATTGAACGATAAAAAGACAAGTGATTTTCATTAGGACTAACAGGAAATAACTACGGCAGTGGAACTGGGTATGCAACGTTTCGTGTTTTGCCAAAATTCAGTCTTACATCTTGATTTGAGTTTCCCGAGCTTACCTCTTTTGATTTCATGATGGTTTCTTCATCATTGCTTTCTTGACTGGCAGAATGATAAATTTACCTCCATCCACTCACATCGCAAATAACCAAGCTAAACATCGCCACTTTGACAAACACCCTTAATTTTCTGCCATTGTTTAGCAAAACTATACGCTTTTATAAAAGAACTCGTAAGTGGTGTATTTTGCCGCTATCATTTGGCCCTATCAATTTATTGGCACCGTGTTTACTGCTTGGGACAAAAATAGCATTGGAAGTTAATTGTCCGATTTCAGTCATTTTGAGTTTTTAGTTAGCGGCGCACAATAACAGGAAAATGAACTTCCACCAAGAAAATTAGCGAAAAATTAGGGATGTACTGAGTCAGTGGCTATTATCATAATTTTAGCATTTTTGATCCTTACGATAAAAAGAAGTTCAAGTTTCTAAAACTACCAGGAAGTAGCCTAAGATAATTAACAAACGAGGCAAGCTTAAGAGAATTAATCTTTCATGTGCGTGTAAATTAGACGATTGTAATCGTTTCAGTCCCGCCATCTTTGATCATTGGAGAGTCAGACGAGCAACCAGGAAGCTGGCACGTTTCCTGAACAAACCTATTACAAATGCCACCAAAGCCGTCAATTATAGATCCTTCATAAGCTCGCAACATGGACGAGTCGTTTGACGATGATTTCAGTGCGTCCCTTTCCAGCACCTTGTCCAAAGTTGTGCAAACCACAGTACTGTGCCCTGCACTTGTCGCAAACCTGTTTGGAAACATTTGCGTCTGCCTGGCTGTTGCGCGTGTACCCTCTCTTAAACAAAGACCTAACACACCTTTCCTTGCCAGCCTAGCATTGACGGACTTGTCTTTTTCGTCCTTCCTTTTGTTCCGTTTAATCTGGTTGTACGACTTTGAGGCAGCGTCCAAAGTGTGTGAATTCTTCGCGATGGTCATTTGCACGCACTCACTAGTTACCGTTATCCACATCTGCCTTCTTAGTTATGACCGCTACGTGGCCATAGCAAATCCTCTAAGGTACAGAAGCATAATGACTACAAAACGCGTCAAAAGGGTCTTGACTGCCGCCTGGTTTGCTCTGCTGGTGGGTAAAATAATCCTTCCCTTCAGCTATCGCAGTAACAGTAGTACCCAATTCCGAAGAAGTATGATTGGTTGCTTGGACTCTGCCGCTGAAAACAAACTCTCATTGATTCATATAACCAACATTGCCTTCAATATCACCTTCTTGATGGCACTTCCTTTAGCTGTGACAGTGTTTGTCTACATTCGCATTGCCAAAATTTCGTGGACGCTCAGCAACCAGCTTGAACCAGGAGAATACCTGAACCCTGAAAAGGCCGAATTGAGGAGAAGGAGGAGAAAGGAAATGAAATGGATGAAAACCATAGGTAAGAAAAACCCGTACATGGAAATTTTAAAGGCAAAGCCCGCCCCATGTAAGAGGGTCCCTTTGGGGTTAACCGTACGTCAGCCGTCAAACGGCCTAAAAGGTAACCGCCAACCGTCAAAAAGGGTTATTTTTTACCATCAGCAGTCAAAAACGCAGATTGATAGTTTCAAGGAATTTCAATCTTGCTTTTTGGTATTTCAGCTGATGGTCATGGACTTCAGGCTCCTGAAGAATCCAGCTCTGAACTGGAAAACCAGTTCCCATGTTCTCAGAAACACTCCTTCTAGACATTACAATACCTTAGAACTTGCCTATGCCTGAAATTATTTCGAAATTTTACAAGTGAAAGGCCAAGACAACCTCCAAAACACAACACTTAATATAAATTTATACAAAAGTTAATATTTACTAAAACTCTTGGACTAAATTTCCACTTAATAACAGTCAACCGTCAAATTCGTAGAAAATAAACCGTCAACCGTCAAAACTACCACCCCATTCTGACTCTCATGTAAAGACAGTCTTGGATTGTGGACTCCGCGTTGTGGATTCCGGATTCCAGGTACTGGATTTCGGACTCAGTCCTTGTCAAAGGAACTTGGATTGTGGATTTCAATAATTATCGGGATTTCAGATTCCTACAGGTGGATTCCATATCCCGAAGCCCAGAATGCTGGACTTCAAAAGCAAAAATTTCCCGCATTCCGGAATCCGCATACCCTACATGGGGATCTGCCAATAGTTCCAAATAACAAAATTCAAGAAGTTCGGGTCGTCAAAAGACTCCACCCATCATCAGACAATACGGAAATTCCAGTTGTTTTGAATTTGTTTAAAAAGCTGTAATGTATTATATTTATTGTACTCGCTCTATCATTCCACAACAACCGATTCTTTATAATGGAGACCTTAGGATTCGGAGACGAGGATGACTACGAGAGGTTTTTTCGCGTATTCTCAAAAAGTAGACTCTCCAGAAAGCGACTTTCTACTATTTTTAACCAGAATCGTTTAAACAGTTATTTACGTAATTAAAGCCAGGCGGGTGTGCCCTCTCCTTAACACACAATGATAGAACTTTACAATGTTTTCCCTAAACCCGTTGTAGAATGACGACGACTATCGCATTTTCCCGCCCAAATGACGCTAATTCACGTCTGCGCACCACTTAGTATGTGAGAAAATCTAGTTCTAGTAGTCGTCCTTGTCTTAGAATCTGAAGGTCTCTATTATTATCCTTTACAGTTCAACAATTGCGAAGAAGATTAAATATGTGTCTTAGTGTTACACCAGAGAGTTGACAGTGAGTCTATCTCTTCTTCACAGTAATGGTCATTGGTGCGTTCGTCCTTTGCCATTTCACACAACTCATATACGTGGTTCTGTCGACCAAACTGGGCACCAGTCAAATACCGGAGGAACTCCGCACGTCGATGATTCTGTTGACAGCGATACACAGCACTCTTAATCCTATCATTTACGTGTTCAGATCAAACGAGTTCAAGCGCGCATTCAAGATGTTCTTCACCACATCTGCTGCTTTGGCACAGACTGCAAATACAAATAACACTAGTGCAAAGTCTTGTATGTCGCGTCTGGAATTATCAGAACGTGACCCACGAAATCATCGCTTGCCATCGTTCCTTGTGCCGAGCCCAGCTTAGAATATGACAGTTATTACACAGGGCAAACAAGATCCAATTGTCTCATTCCTACCCCCGCAGAAAGTAGAGCATCAGGAACAACTTGTTCAAGAATCGAAAACTGTTTCCCACGAGTGCCAAGTAGCGTCAACATGTGATCAGTCAAGAGATATGCATACAGATGTAACGCCCTCGTAGAGAAACTGAATCGAAAAACTGCATTGTAAAAGTAAAACAAGAAAGTGTAATACTGTAGCTCTAGTCTTGCAAGAGCGAATGAGCCCATAATTTTGAGGCTAAAAACGAGGACGTCGACTTCATTCGCACTCACATAAAGAGAAAAGCAAATTCTCGCTCTAAAGTCAAAAGTACGGCTTTATAAAAATGGTTCTCCCGACTTCTTAAAAATAGAATTCTTGAACACTGATTTAAAGAAAACTTGCAAGTGTTTCAAGGTGCTTTTGAATTTATTAAACATAAAAACCTGAAAAACATTCACAGCAGTGCTCAAATTTTCGCGTAGGATTGATTTCTACTGTTTGGTAGAAATGTATTTACATTCGGCGGAGCTAAACGTAGTGGCAGTGACAGAGAATGTAAATACTTTCCTATTGGTATGAACGCACGTGAGCCGCTATGGCGTTAATTGACTCTATTGTTGTAAGGTATATAAGGTTTTGACAGTTGTAATGTATTCATCTCAGCTCTCGAACTATCAAATTTTATTTTTATACCTTACTTTATCCATCTATCGATTGATTTTTTACCTTTAACCCCCAGAGGTTGTGCGACCGCATCGGTTGGGGAATACGTTCCCAATTTTTTCCCATTGGGTTTTTTGGGTTTTCGTATCAGGCGGCGCACGTGAATAGTTTAGCCTGAGTGACTTTATTTAGGAATATTTGTTTACCATTCTTTAGTTATGATGTTGAACTTTGTATGTTATTTGGACGGCATTAAAAAAAAAAAAATTCCATAGTTCGAGCTGCACACCCATTCCCGTCTCTTAGTCGTGAATATAAATAGGAACTGTTACATTTCACTTCCTCGTGACTGGTTGAGCGGCTTTGCGCTCTTATTAACTCATAGAACTTTGGGCGCTTTCCATTTAGATAAAAAATCCGGAATATTAAATTTCGGTGGGGAAAAAAGGGGATTTCCGATAGGTAAAAAGTTGTTCCATTTGATCGTAAATCCCGATAAGGCGCCGAGCCCGTTACCCGACGGCACACCGAGATGGCTGCCGAGTTGGTAACAGTTGGAACTGGTATAAAGTACGAGAAAGGTGTAAATGGAACACGAAATCCGTTCAAAACGTTCCAACCGAGAAAACGGGCCCACCTTTTTAGATTTTCTACTTTTCCCGAGAATTTTCCAGTAGGACGAACCGACGAAACATGTTCCATTTACTGCCGAACCGAAATTTCCGGCAAGTTTTTTATTAAATGGAAAGCTCCCTTTCTACCTCGGGAACTGTCATGGGTAATTCTTTTGTTCTTCTTGACGTAATCATGGAAATTTCCCCGAGGCAATTTCACCCGGGGGAAACCGGTCACACACAAAAGGTTGCTTCCCCGTGGGCAACAGCCATTTGTTCATGGGTAAAACGGCTACAGCCGTACCTAATTTGATGGACGTGAAGTCACGTAAAAACGCTCTTTAGGTTAAGATTAGCAAAACAACAATTTTGCACTTGCGTCACGCTATTTTTGTTCATTTTTTAAAAGTTGTTGCACGACTGCGACGTGAAACTTCCAAGCTTCACGTTCGTTTAGGGATGACGTGAACAGAAGACAACAATTTTCTTCTTCTGAAGTTAGGACTAGGCTAAACGTGGAACTTTTCATGAGACGAACCAAACTCTAATTTGGGTGGACTTAAATTAAGTTAAGATCGTCAGTTCGGTCAGACATCGAACATTGAAAACAAGAAAGGTAATTAAATGGGGCTTCAAATGTCAAAAATTTTTCCAAAAGATTTTGTGTTTACAAGTGAGCGTCCTCATTATTCACTGGCATTGTTTTCAAGTTTTATATATACTTGCACAACTTAAGCAAAAAACTAATTTGCATTCAAAAGTACCTTCGATTTTTGGTCTGATTGAGTTGATAGGTTCGACGCGTCCTAAGTTCGACGTCTGAGCCCACAGACGATCTTAACTTAATTTAGGTCGACCCTAATTAGAGTTTACCCTAGGAAGGTCGAACGGCCTCTGCTCGCAGGCCAATTAGAGTTTGGTTGGTCTCATGAAAAGTTCGACGTTTGGCATAGGCCTTAGATACAGTCGTTTGGAATCAACTTCAAGATTTCCCAACATTAAACAAATTGTATGAAATGGAACAAGAGCAATAAAGTTTAAAACAGCGCGAATTAGCTTTTCCAGTGACGTTTTTGCTGTAAACGAGTTTTGTCTCACGTGATCCATGATGCCTGATAAGAATAATGTGTTGGTCTCTGCGTTTATAATTATCTTGATTAAAATGGGTGTTTCTAAATTCTGCAAGTGAGTGCAGAGCTCTTTTTTTCTTTATAGTGGACAATTTTTCAAATAAGGAAAAAGAACAGACGCAGATGAAGCTTCTGAAACTCCCATTTTGTGTACATATGATTAAAGGAGCTGTGTCACGAAATTCAGCCAAATTAGGAAATTACAAAATGCCCGTTAAATTAAGAGAAACATAAAAATAACGGCTTAAAACTTTATAGGAAGGTTAAAATAACATAACAGAAACAACAGATGCCACGGATGGGCAAAACTGAAGAAGATTGAAACAGATTGAAATTAGGGTTTTTGAAAACTGTTCAGCCTAACAGTTTTTCAAAGTGGATCCCTGCTGCTCGCAACTTCAAAAATAATGCTCAGGAGACATATTTGTATGTCTCGGATCTCTAATTTTGTCATTTACCTGTAATTTCTTTGAAAAAATATTTCTTTTTTTTTTTTTTAACACCAACCAAGATTTGCACCAATTTTGACGAACCATAGCTGAGTTAAATGTCTCGCTCCGAACCATAAATTACTTTAAGTTCCATAGCGAGTGAGGGCGAGTAATTGGCAAAATTAAACAACATGAACTGGACTGCCGTGACACAGCCCCTTTAAGGGAAAGCGAAAAGTCAGGAGAGACACTTGGCTACATGGTACCGAGAAATACATCCTTTTGGATTATAGTTTGATTTCGTACGTTTTACTTTCCTTGTTCATCTGACGAAATTTGAATGAATCAGTTCTGAAGACTATTAAATATCACGTGATAAAAAAAACATACAAGGTAAAAAGGTCTATTGTCGTTTGCCATTTGCCGTTTGCCGAAAATGTGATTCTAAACACGTGCTACACGAAATAGGAAACACGAATCACGTTCTACACGAACTCATCTGAAACTCAGTTGGATGAGGCCTTGTTGTCAAAGATATGAAAGGTCTGTTATATGAGAAAGCCGAACGCGTATCTGAACGTCTCAAAATCTCTTGTAACACGTTGTAGCGTTATTAGAAATTTCAAGGCGATAATGCTTAGACGGAAAACAAAAACCAATAAAACTTTTGGCCCCTTGTATTAAAACAAGCCGCCTGTCTTTAGGTAGAATATATTATTAGGGTGCTATACTGAGCTTCGCTACAATTGTCTTTTCTGGGGGAAACAGAAGGCGCTGATGTACCTTTATACAACAATATTCATTAATTTTGTTTTTTCAGTGGGAAACACGTTCTACACGGATAGGTGATCATAAGACAGCTAAAATAGCTCTAGGATAAATTTTTTCGCAACATGGATTTTAGGCAATAGCGAATTTAAACATTTTAAAAAGCACCTCGATTTGTTATACATTTAGCTGAGGCGAAGCCGTTTACTATTAACTAGTTCGCAAGAATAGTTCTTAAGCACAATATGTGGCCGACTTTAAACAATGAATCTACCACCAAAAAATTTTAGACAGGGAGGGAAGGTTCTTCACAACGCTTTCTGCAGTTGTTGCGCGGCTCACGTTGTTCACGACGACAAACACGTGTTAGTAACACGAATCACAAGGTAAGGGCTTAAAAGAATAGAGTGTTACGCAAATGACAAATGCCAAATTAATGTTAATTCAGTTCTAACACAGCGCCTTTTATAGTCACCGACCCCGCAACACGAGTTTAAAATGTCAGTTAGTCAGTATTTGACCGAAAACGAATCTGATTGTTGATCAGGCATCGTCTATATTGGGGTAAAAACACTGCCGTACTGAGCGATTTAAAGGACACCCCTGCCAGTTGTTCAAAAGCTGGATAGCGCTAAAACTCACTATCGGTAGTGCATGATACAATGATAAGATTTAGGAAACCAACTGCACTCTCCAGTGGAAAGAGATCTATTCGGCGGATAGCGCGGTTATACTCCTTTCGGCTGTTGTATAAAAAACAAAAACGTTCCATGAAGATAGTATAGTATATCTAATACATCTTAATCCGATGACTGAGTGCAAGGACCTATAATAGCAATTAGTTTGTCTCTTGTGGTTAATAATTGATCATCGGAACAATGGATAACGAAAAAATGGTTCAGAAGAAATGTTCTTTCTTATCTCAATTCTTTACTAATAACATCTAAGCTGAAAGATGTTTGTTGAACTTCATTTAATTTATTTGCGTACAGATGAGACTACCGTAATGTCAGTATGCCTTAAAAAGAAAAAAAAAAGCTATGTCCGAATTTTTTAACTCTCTAGCTGGAACGTTTTGGCCCGTATCAAGGACTAAATTAGTAACGGCGATCCTGTCCCTCACATCTATTTCAATTTTTCTGAATAGCTTAGTTGTCTTTCTGGTCATTTTCTGCTCCCGGAAACTTAATCGACGGCCAAACAGTCTCCTTCTACTTGGCCTTACTTTGTCCGACGTGATGTTTTTGCTGTATGTCTTGTTTAACCTGGTGATTTTGCATCGCAACAAAGTGGCTGGCCAAGTTTGCGATATCTTCAACATGGTCATTTCATGTCAAACTTGTATCGGCTTTGTTCATTTGTGTCTTCTCGGTTGCGATCGATACACTGCTGTAATCCATCCATTAAGGTAGGAGAAATTTTATAAAGTAACAATATTATAAATGTTGTAGTTCAAAGTGAAATTCAGGTTAAAATGGTTCCAGCCTCGGTTGATGGCCTCAATTTACTTTGTCTCCTATCCCTATATATTCATGAATGATGAATAATTAGGATTAGGAAACAAAAAAATAAAATAAAAGGAGATAACCTGAATTTCATTTTGACCTACAACATCGATATAATGTCAGTTGTGATTCTTAAAATTTCTCATGCAAGCCATAAAAAGTTTGAGGTAAAGAATAAGCTAAGAGTCTGTGGATTTCGCGCTCTGAACAAATTTAGCCGATACTTGACAACTTGCTTTCTGTAAACTCCAGTTTACTAGGTTTCTGACGACGATAATCGAACGGAAAATGAGCTATACAAATAAATGTTCTATAAATCGAATAATAACCCGTGTATAAGTACAAATACAAGAAAGGTACATCAAAGTAATAATCTGAAGAAATAAACTAACAAAATCAAAATTACACACGTTCACTCGTGTCGGAGTGTTTTAATACTAGGTAACGGCCAAAAGAGAAAGTTCGGTGTAAGGGCTTAGAAAATCACCGAAGGCCGTTGAAATCTGCCTGGAATATTAAAGCCGGCATCAGCATGGAAAACAACTTTGGACGGTTCTGGATTTATATATGTTTTGATTGACTAATAAACTGGCGCGAAATTTTGTATTAATTTTTATCGGCTCCAGTTAAAACCAAAATAACTACTCTGGCCAATCAGCTGCACGCGTAACAATCAAATGAACCAATCAGATCTCGACGCAAAAGGCGGGAGAACGCACGCGACTAGATCCAATGCGATTGATTAAGTTGCTTTACTTCTGATTGGTGAGAAAGAGGAACGAGATTCAGTTGCCTTGTCCCTAAGCCTCATTATTGCGCGCGACTGATGCGTTTCGGGTCACGTTGTCCGAGAGAGTCTCCTGGCCGTTGCATTGACCGAGAAGGCCTGGGAAGACGCCGTACAGGGACTAGGCAAGAGATTCAGTAGACACAGCAGCACAAATTTGAAAACATCACGAAATTATTTTAACAGTCAGCTTTAGGGGCTGTTTACATGGAGAGGGAAGATCCTAAAGGGCAGATCATCCTAGTGCCATGTGTTTTCTGCATTCAGCATGCATGCAAAGGGTTGTACTTGTCCCTAGCGCTAGGATCTGCCTAGTACTAGATTCTTCTTAGCTGAGAAGTAGGAAGATTCTAGTCCTGGGAAGATCCCAGCACCATGTAACTGTTTTCGCTAGGAGGAAGATCCTTACTTGTACTAGGGACGAACCACGCAAATATGGCGGCGGATCGTTCAAAGGGTAATCACGGCAATAAAAGCCGACCATTTCGTTTGGTGTTACTACGAGCTGATAATTGTGATAATACTGCTGCATGAAAGGTCGTTATTAACGCCAATAAAGAGAGCAGAAGGGCCCAAATTGCATTTTTGTTATTTTCGCCCGCCATCTTTAATTCCTTCTAATCCTCTACCTGGTAGCCACACGGACCGCAATTTCTGCATGTAAACCCAACGAAACGTTGTTCCACCTTCCAGGATCTTCCTACCTCCATGTAAACAACCCCATAGAGTACGTTTGAAGTAACAACCGCTATTCACAGGTACAAGGCCATCGTCACATCTAAGCGTGTCGGTCGATCCCTGGTGATGGCTTGGGCAGCTCCGGTGGCTTCTTGGATAGCACTACCTCTTTGTTACAGAGAACGTGGCAGTCTAGTGATGTTGCGTGGTATGGGCTGCTTGGAACTGAGCGACAAAACGTCTCCGTTCGTTAAAGCTCATCTCATCCTGAATGTGGCAATATTTGGCGGCATTCCTTTTGCAGTAATGGCCTTTGTCTACTTCCGTGTTTTTAAGATTTCGCGCCGTCAGAACAAACGTGAGCACCTTGGAAAAACGCTTTTGTTTAGTATGAAGAAATCTGGGATGACGGCAAAATGGTTAAAAGCTATAGGTAAAATGAACAGGCCATTTGCACGATGACGTCATTTTACTACTAAAACTACCAGAATCCTTCAGGGTTTTGCTTTCTCAAGCAAATTAGGGCTTTTGTCGTTTAAACCTCATTGGGATTAGCAGATTTAACTATAAAAGAAAAAACGAAATGAGTGATTCTGCGGTCCTAGTAGTAAAAAGACGTCATTGTGCAAATGGCGCATTACAAAGATTTGGTAGGAATGTCTTTAAAGACACATTGTGGAGGAAGAGCAAAAGCGACATCTAGTGTTCTTGACTTGAATTTAAATTCTAGTTGGAAAATCAAATGGTTGAAATTCGTAATGGAAAAACAAATGGTTCGCGCCACACTCTGTTTGGTCTGTTTAGCTGATTTGAATATACTTTGTAACGGGTCGTTTGGGTCAAATTTAATTTTGTTTTTGTTCATGGGGATGCAACTCAGGTTGTTTTTTCCTAACCCCAATCTATCCAGCGTGCAAAACACAAAAAAACGAGGTTAAAAAACAAAACCAGACGATTTCAAAGACCAAACAAACAAAGAAATCAGCGATTCAAAACAAGTAAATGATTGGTCCCGAGGGAAACAGTTGATTTTCTTTCCCGAGATTCGAGGGGAATAAAATTAACTGTTTACCGAGGGACCAGTCTTTACGTGATTTGTTATATAGCTAGAAATTCATTAAACCTCGCTGTAACGGCGGTCGTCGGTCAACAGTCGCGGGTAACAGTGTACTGTTACCCTTTGATGTCATAGATTTTGCATTGTTGCCTGCTCAGAGATTTTAGCGGGAAACAGTTTCATTGTTAGATGTTATGTGACCTCAAGGTAACCAATAAGAGCGCGCGCTGCTGGGAAAAAGTTTCCAGCTATATAACAAAGTCTGTTATTTTTAGGCTTTACTATAGCCATTTTAAAAAACAAAGCAATTAAGGGGAAACATACAAAACACCTGACAAATTTTTCATCTCAATTCTAACAATTTCTTTTCTTTTCAGCTTTTACAATTACTCCCTTGTTGTTCATCTACATGCCAGCATTTACCTGCTGCTTTCTGGAGGCAATAGTGGGCCCCAGGTTCATTCCAGACCGGTTTTCCCAGGCCGTTGTCTTGTTAATCATCATGGATGTGATGTTGCATCCGGTTACATATGGGTTTAGATCACGTGACTTCAAGACAGCGTTTTCAAAAATGTTCAAGTGCAAGCGCAAAGTTATAGAGCAACATACCTGCTTGAAACGGCAATTCACAGAAGTGAAGAGGAAACATATACAGACAGCTGAAGGCTGCCGCCTCAAAATAACGTATGTTTAAAACCTGCAGTCGGCCATCCACAGAAGTAGACGGCATCGTAGGAGAAACGATCAGTTCAAGATAACCTTCGAACTAGCCTGAGAAAACAGCCGACACTTTGCGACGCCACCACTGGTTTCCCCCTCGAAATGACGTCAGACAAACAAGCGCAGAAATCAGTCCATACTCATGACGTGCCACTAGCCATATCTGGGCAGTGCTCCTGATTGGCTGAAGCAAGTTTTCCACGCGGTACGACCAATCAGAGGCACTGCCCAGATCTGGGTAAGGACGCTTTTTTTCCCAGGGAAACCAGTAGTGCTGGCGCGAAATGGCGACTGTTTCCTCAGGCTAGTTCGAACCAGGTACATTAGTTTACTTTCAGTGGTAGTTCATAACTGTATTTTGTCAACTCAAGCTTCAAGGGTGGAATTTTCAGCTAATTTTGCTGGTTCCTTTGGCGTTTCTAAAAGTATCGCTCTCTGTTAATTTACTCTCACGCAAACTGAATTACAAGCCTCTGTTTAAAGATAAAATCAAATTAAAATTTAAACTCATCTGTCATGATTTTCATTAGATAAGGCTGTTATCCAAGCATCCATCTCATGTAGTTCTCGACAGGCCTAATTTTCCTGGCACATTTTAAAGCAGTTTCTTTTCACTCCCCGAGGTAGCAAGATTTGACAAAATTCCAGCTTTCATTTTTTAAAATGATAAAAAACAAATGGTCTAAAGTTTTTGAAAAATGAATAACAAAAACAAAAAGTTAGAACTACATACTAAATAAATAGTGCCATGTGAAAACTGCTGAAGAGGTTTCATTTGAATGGTAACACCATAGGAAGCAGGTTTCATACTAAATAAATTTACTGCTGAAGAGGTTTCATTTGAATGGTAACACCATAGGATCACTCCGCAGATTCAAAAGTTAGAACTACATACTAAATAAATAGTGCCATGTGAAAGTACTGCTGAAGAGGTTTCATTTGAATGGTAACACCATACGATTTCATCCACAGACTCAAAAGTTGAGTTGAAGTTGAAGTTAAGTCGAACTCCATCACTCACTTTGGGTTTACTTTAACTCACAGACGTCTTTAGCTTCCCTTTTGAGTTGGCCCTGTAACTTCTTCTTCAGCCGTCTCCTAAATTGTCGTTGTCGACTGAAGTGGGATTCATATCTCCTACCAGTGGAGGGTTCTTCACAAGCTTGAAGAGCTGTTGCTAAATCTTCATCGTCTTTAGTAACAAAATTAATAACTGCAACAGCAAAATACCCAGTTAAAACAGAGGATACAATGAATCGAAATAAATTAAACTTGAAAATTGTGTCTTAAAATACTGGTGAATAGTTTTGCCAAAGAGGTTGGTCATTTGGAGGTTTCATTTGAATTATGGTATGGTCACATAGCAAGATTTCACCCACAAACTGTAGTTCAAAGGTAAGGACTTTGCAAGCTCTGGGGGGTACACAGGTTTTCTTGGTTAGATTTCCACTTTTTACTGTTAATTCTAGCCAGCAAGCAAACATTCCATTTCAACAGCAACCAAAGTGAGCCACGACAGAATTCAAAACAAGTGAGCTCAAAGCAATTTTAAAGATATTGCGGCACGTGTCCTTGCAACACCCACGAATGGAAAGCTTGTTCATAACCAGTTGCATCAATATTAACCCTTCCACAGTTTTCAATGAGGTTTTAAGTAGGTGGGAAGAACTTTGGAGTAGGCGGAGAAGGAAAAAAATTGCAACAAGGGCACAACTAGGGAGTGCTGAAAGTGCGAGTTCCTAAGGGGTCCAGGGAAAAACTATGAACAGACATCATTAAATTTTGGCTCTTTGGGGTCTCTTTTTTTTCCTTCCAAAGAACAGTAGGTGGCGAGTTCACTTGAAATAGCCAATGAATTTCACCGGCTGCCGGCTCTTATTGAGAACCCTGCCTTTTATTGAACAACATCAATTTTCTCTCAACAGTACCAATACATCATCAAGGAAACAGATTATGAGAATTAATGAAATGATCACCAAAGGGAAAATGCTTCATATTTTGTAAATTCTCTCAAAAAGTTCTTTAACCCTTTAAGTCCCATTAACCACATACAAATTCTCCTGACTGATCTCCACATATTTCCTTAGAGAACTAGTTGGGAGAATTTGATAAAAGATCAAAGCATTTTCCCTTTGGTGACCATTTAACCAGTTCTCACAACCTTGAACCATTGGAGATGCACTGATATTGTTTGGAGAAAATTGATGTTGGTCACTCCGGGGACTTACTTTTTTTTGTTAAGTGTGAAGGAAATGAATGGAGGTCTGTCTGGAGAATTTGTATGCAGATAATTATTGTGGCTTTATAAAGGGTTAACATGGATTCTTACCTCTTCCTGCTGCACCAGCCCTTGCTGTCCGTCCTGTCCGATGAAGCACGTGCGCAGCATTGGGAGCAAAGTCCAACTGAATCACATGACTTACATTCTGAATATCCAATCCTCTAGATGCCAGGTCAGTGCATATCAAAACTTTCAGCTCAGCCGATTTAAACTTGTTTAGTGTTTCTCTTCTCTGAGAAAGAGGAAGCTTTTTGTGAATCATTCCAACTCGTCCAATCCAAATGTCGTTGCTACCAGTGTGTGTCACAAAATAACTAAGGGCATCTTTTTTGCTACCATCACCATTGTCTTCAGGTTGCCATGTAGTTGAACTTTCATCACTTTTAGTTCCCTGTTTCCAAGAAATTGAGTTGCTTTCCTCCACTTCTCCAGGATCACTTAGGAAGTTAAAGGCTTGCTCAGCTGCTCTTGCAGAGTTTACAAATACTAATACCCTGAGATTTTCCCAACTTACATTTCCAAAGGATGTTGTTGCAAAGTCACTCTCTTCCAAGGCTTGATCCTTCAACTTTGATTTGTGAGCATCCAAGACTTCAGTCTTTTTGTTTGATAGATACATTTTCTCAGCTTTATCTTTGCGAAAAGAAATATCAGAACTAAAATCAAGACTTTCCTCAAATTTGAAATCCATTTTCTCATTACTTTTCTTTTCAGCATGAGCAAATGGGTATTTAATCAGTCCAGCAAGGCTGTTAAGGCAATGTAATAATGCAGGCAACTTTTCAGCTTCTTGTACACATACATAAAATATATCCACTGTGGGCAAAATTTGGTGGACTAAATCAGTGGACACAAATTCTGCTTCTGGAACCCAGTCTTTCAGCACACTGAAAGCAGATTTTGGGCCATGATGGGGCAATGTGGCTGCGACAAAAACAAATTGCCTTTTTGGAGGTGGTGTGGAGGTCATCTCAGGTTGACAAATTTCTCTTTTAGCATCAGAAGTGAATTTAATTTCTGTTCGTCTGGGTGAGTCACTTGTAACATTCTCATCATCAAAAGCATTACGTTGTCTGGAAGCTTTTTGTTGCCTTGCTAAGTGCCTCTTTTTCTTCTTGGCCTTCACGCTGTCAACACCCTTAAAAAAGCTAAGGATTTCCCATAGATTATCTCCTCCACCAGTCAGTAATAGATCTGCTTCATCAATAACCACAACTTGAACATTGCTCAGAGAGCTTAGTCTGTAGTTACACAGTGAATTGGCTGTGGCCACTATAATTGGATAATTAGCGTTAACCATAAGTTTGGACTCTCTGTGAACAATGCATGGATGAAGTGCGTCATGTGCTAGACTACGAAAAACACTGGCAACCTACAATGATAACATAAATCAATGCTGTCAGTCTTGTACCCAGTAAGGCGTGTTGCTTTTATAATGGAGTGAAGACAATAAAACAAAATCATAGAGACCTTATAAAAGATGACTGCAGCCACTTAATAGAGTTGGCACTTAGTACAAGAAAGCTAGTTTTACAGTAATTAAGAGAAACTCATTTCCTAGGCTTTGGTAACGGTAGTTTTTTGGTGTTGTTGATGGGTGTAATCACCAAATGACATAATACCAAAAGATTAAAAAGACAACAGACAATATCACACCACAACACGAAAGTAAGCCAACAACAGTTTCTGCAATACCAAGAAACTCCTTGGTAAGTAACTGCTTAATAGAGGATGACTGCTTAATACAGATTTGACTTTACTATAAGTACAAGTCAGCTAACCCTTTCCTTCTCAAGATAAACCATTAAGGAGGCACTCTGGTTGTTTTTTGGGGAAATGATGTTGATTTGGGAAGGAAATAAATTAGTAGAAAAGGTATTGTTATAGTGCTGGACTATCTGGTATTTGTCTACTAATTATTCACTTCATAGTTTAGATTTTAACATCCCCCAAATCCAAAATTCTCCAATTTGCCAATTAAACACTGCCCCCCAATTTGTATATATCAAAAGCATTCGAAACATAATCCAAAATTCTCAAAAAATTATTACTGAACCATGGACTCCAAACTAATAGAGTCATTTATAGAAATCTTGACTACACAAAAAACAATGCTTTTAACCAGAATGCCCCCTAAAAATTATGGAGTCTATTTCCCACCAACCCAGAAATCATCATCAAGGAGGTTTTAAGAAAGTATCTTACTTGGTGACACAGCTCAATACTTGGCAGCAAAACAACAGCATAGGGTGGCCGGGAAAGCAGCTCCTTATCAACAAGCAGTTTGTTTATAATGGGTAGCAAGTAACCTGTAAATGAAGTATAACCAGTGACACTTGTAAAAGTTATTAACAAAGATCTCAAAACTATAACTTAGCCCTTGAATACAGCTACCTTTGATGACTTCCCATCAGTGGGACGTTTCATAAGAGACGTCTCCATTTTGGCCCAAAAAATTCCACACTGACAGCATAACTCTGCCTAGGAGCTGTGATTGGTTGATGTGGTAATTACACTCTTTTATGGAACTTTTGAGGCTAAAACACATACAACTCTTGTCAATATCCCCAGTAAAAGGAAGCCATGGGAGATGGATGTATTTTACAGCTTGAAACACTCATCTTCTACCCCGGGAGCAGAGGCCTTTCAATCTTCCTAAATAAGTTGGGAAGAGGAAAGGGACCTCTGCCAGCCACCTCGACCTTCCTTGTTTGCTGCTCATCCACCAAACGGATGAGTCAGTCCGGTTTGAAACCAGTTTTTCCCGTTTTTGCTTAGTGCGCATGTGCTTCGCTAGAAATTGCTGACTAAATATGTGCCCACAATACACTTGATAAACTCGTAGAATTCAAAACAATGGCGGACGTTTCTGACGTTTCTCTTTCGAAGGATGTATTTGAAACAGCCGTGAAAAATCCACTGGGAAGAGTGAATACTCGTGGAATATGTCCCTTCCTCTTCCCGACTTATCTAGGAAGATCGAAGGGCCTCTGCTCCCAGGGTACCCATCTTCGTACACTCATATAGGTACTTACAGAGTTTCACAGTTTTACTTACAGAGTGTTTTGCCGCTTCCAGTTTCTGCATTGATTACTACGTCTTTTCCTTCCATAACAGTTCCTAGAGCCTACAGTACCAAGCGAAAGGTAACCAATGAAGAAACAGAATTCAAAGTAGGTTAATCAGCGCCTGCAAATTCTAAACAAACCTTTTCTTGAATGGCTGTTGGTTTCTCGATGTTCATATCTTTCAGTCTCTTGAGCAAAATGTCTTTAAGTCCAAATGAATGAAACAAACGGTTTTTAATCTCCTTTAAATAAAACCCTCTTCTGCAAATCCAAAATTTGTTTCCAAAGTCTCTCGCATGCATGCGAGCCGCCATTTTGCCAAGTAACCTGGTCACGGGATGGTAACCACGCGATATAAATATGTGATGATGACATGTCAACATGAGGTGACAGGAACGAAACGAACGAAAGTGCAATCAAGTTGAACCAGTTAGTTGTGAAACCATGGGATAAATATTCCCACGGAACTCACTTAGGCTGGTATAAAAAGTCGGTGGTTTTCTTCTCCTAGAACCTCACTGCAGGTTTTTGAGATGGATAAGGGAT